AGGACCTATAGCTGAGCCAAAAGTAAACTTTTTATTGGCTAGCTTTCAGTTTCTGGGCAGACGGCCCATTAAACAACTTGGAAGCAGAAATGTACCCAGCTAATTGTCTTCACTTAGTCAAGCAAATTGCATCTTCTTTGAGGAAACAAAGAGCTTTTATTATAACATCTATCTAAAACTCCAGTGGGGATACAGGACATTTTTTATTTTCTTTCTGTTTTAACTAACTTCAGTTGGGGTCTTTTTTACAAATAACAGTTCCAATGACCAACTTTTTTTTTCAATCAACAGCAATTCATTCCTTTATTTCTTCACAGCAGTAAACTGTTGGTATTACTGTAAGTTTTTATTTCTCTGTAACCATCTCTGATATCCATAAAGATATAGCACACATTACTAATCCATCCATCGCAGCCAGCAGCTATATAACCCTGCAACTCACAACTGGCAACCCACTGAGGCTAAGCAGATGTGACCCTGCTCAGTTCCTGGATGAAAAACTAAGATTGCTAAGGGGCCAGCAGGAGGTGCTCACCCTGTGGCCCATGTGGGTCCTAATGCCCCAGTATGGTGACGGGGACACAATACTGTAAAACAGGTGCCATCCTTCGGATGAGATGTAATACTGAGGTCCTGACTCTCTGTGGCCATTAAAAATCCCAGGGCATTTCTCGAAAAGGGTAGGGGTGTAACCCATTGGCCCTTACCAGTCATGGCCTCCTAATAATCCCCATCTATGAACTGGCTACATTACTCTGCTCTCCTTACCACTGATAGCTGATGTGTGGTGAGTGTTCTGGTGCACTATGGCTGCCGTCGCATCATCCAAGTGGATGCTGCACATTGGTGGTGGTGGAGGGGAGTCCCCATTACCTGTAAAGCGCTTTGAGTGAAGTGTCCAGAAAAGCACTATATAAGTGTAAGCAATTATTATTATTATAATTATTATCAATTCGTTTGGGGTCTATCCCAGCAAGCAAAAGGGACAAGGCAGGATGTATCCTGAACAGCATGCCAGCTCTACTAATGTGTATTACATTTTTTTTATTCTATAAGCCCCAATATTACAAAATAAATAAAATATATACTGTAGGGTGGACAAATGAGCAGTTATTCTAATTCTGCTGTTTGTGCCCAAAGCACATGTTACATCCAACACTTGTTTAGGCAAGGTTTGCCAGGTCCTAATTAAATAACTGCTTGCACATTATTTCAGGTTTAAAGTTCTACAAGATTTTGTTGTAAAACTTAATAATTTAATAACCTCAAAGATTAGCTTAAATCAATTGGAAAATACACAGGAAAGCTGTAACAACGATTGTGAAGCATGTGAAGCTTTTTACTATTGCCTGACATCAGCTAGGGTCTATTGCATCCATTTTATGACACATTTAGCTGTCAAGCTATTGACATTATAGGCTACAAATCATAAAATGAGCATTCAAAAAGCCAAATAATGTGTTGTGCAGTGTTTCAAAAAGGCAAATGTCTGCTAACCAGAAAAAATATCAGACACCAATGAAACACTGCTTTGGCCCCAAAGCTGTAACTTTAGTCTGGATATTTGAAGAGCAAGAGGGCATTTGTAGCTGTCTTACCAGTCACAGATCCCTAAGGTGTCACTTAATGATGACTTCTCTTTGCCAGAGGCGTGATGCACCTACCTGAGTTTTCAGTTTATATTTGGTGAATTGGTTAAAGTTTGGCTATAGTTTGTATTGAAGTGTCATTGGCAAACAAGCCAAAAAAAAAATAATATCAACCAGTTTAGCCACAGATCATTTATGTTTGTCTGTTCTAGGGCTATATTTCATACAGAAAGTTAAAAGGGACAGTGGTTTAATATACTGCTCAAATTTAACCTCTGTGATGACGTTGTTACTCAGGGTTTAATGGGATCAGTTGAGTACTTAGATTGGTGGTTACATCAAGGGCTGCCATCTCACTCCATACCTAATCAAACCTTGAAATCAAACAGCAGAGATCAAACTATATACAGTGCTGTATGAAAACATCAGTTTTAATAGAAAGTTCTCTGTTCCCCTTCTCTTGCTGTTATTTAAGAACGACTTAAAAAGGCAGAGAAGGGGCCCCAAACACTGTCTGCCAGAACACCCCACCCCTTCCAATTGTGCAAAGCATGGAAAAGGGTTCCTCCAAGCTAAATGACGCCAGAGGGACCGATCACAACTTATCACTCCCTCCAGAATAAATGACTTTCATAGTCTTTGGCATATTTCAATGCTGCATGATCAGGCCAAACACATTAAGAACAAGTTCAGTGCATTTGGGTTTGTTTTTGTCTCCAAAAAATTCTAAGAAAGCAAACAAATCTGTAAATTCAACAAATGTAACAGGAAAACCAACTATATACAGTATTTCACTTAGCCAATGTGAAACTCACAAATTGTATTTGAATTGAATGCTTTGTGAATGTTTGGGAACTTGGTGAGATAAGTTTGGCTTAATCCGCTTGGTTAACAGAGTGATGGTGTAGCTGCAAGGCGGTAATGGGGTGGAAGAGGGATGTCTGAAATTAATGTGAAGGGAGGTATTTGAGTTCTGTATATATACAGTAGATAATTTCATAATGGTACTATGGACTAGGTACAGTTGTGTGAGATTGACTTCTCATTGTTATCCTCAGGAATTTCAGTTAATAACTTCCATATAATACAATATTATCAGAAAATAAAACTTACGAAATGCTTAAAAGCACTTAGAATTCTTCAAGAGAAACTTTTACATAAAATAATTAAGAACTTTTACTAGAAAAAAGAAGACTATTCACAGAATTAAATGTAAAATGTCCAGTACAAAGACAATTATGTAAATTACATTTAACTGTTATACTTACAATCAGACTGTGTAAAAAAAAGATGTTCCTGTATTATACTGTACAATAGGCACTATTCACTATCGTGAATATATAAAATGATCTCTATCATTTTAGCTCATTTTAAAGAAGTAATAAAAGCAATATATTTTTATATATTATTATGTTAAGTTATATATAACATGGCACACTGATGCTAATCATTTAAAAAGTGGTCATTACATCCTGTACATGCTATTTTCCTATATCTTTTATTAAGGTATAGGAACTAAAAATGTGCAGGAACTTCCTCTGCATGAATCTTCACTACAACATTAAAGAAAAGTTTTGGTGATTTAGATTACAAAGAGTATGATGCCAGCAAAGTACAGTACATTCTCTTCAGAACTGATAACAAACTAAATTGTTATCGTATTTTTCAATCCATGCAAGACAAAAAAAGATATGGGCTGTGAAAATAAAAGCATATTTTTCATCTAAGCATTCTGGGCCATTTATGAAACACTCAAAATTCACTCTGGTGTTTTATCCTGGTTCAGAGCTTCTGAATGAATGGGATGGGGAATATCTGCAAAACAATATGCTTTGAGGTATTGCTGCATTAAAATAACTAAATACTAAACTCCCTTCCTGCAAAATATCCTAGTTGTTCTAGTTTTATCTTTACTAAGATTTAATTTCCTTAGTAATTTCCTTTACTTTAGAAGAAAAGACATGTTTAATGTACTGTGTTTTTTTTAAAAGCTTGGCCTTTTCCGTGATTATTCATTTGGACTTTATATGATCATATTGGCCAAACTTAAAATCTTCCTGCATTTTTCGAACATAAATTTAATAAAGCGCTGAGTGAAAAACGATCAAAGCAAAAACCAGGAATCAATAGCACCTCTTCTGCATTTCCAGTTTATGACAAAAAAAAAGATACAGGGAAAATTGACACTAAACAACAGGGCGACAAAAGTTGAGAGTTGAAAAGAGAATTGAAAGCAGACAAATGAGAAATGATTTACAACTGGCATGGACACAGTCATCCAGAGGTCCTGGCCAAATAAGGCAGGAACACCCTCTGGACAGGACACCACTCCATCACAGGGCACACACACACAAGCACACAGGGACAATATAGGGATGCCAATTAACCTAATCAGTGCATCTTTTGAAGGTGGGAGAAAAGCACCTGTCAAAAACCTCTCTGAATATTGGGAGAACCTGCCAACTCAAGATTTGCTTCAGGCCAGATCTGAGCCCTGAACTCCAGTGCAATGAGTTAGTAGTATTAACTGTAATGCCACTGGGCTGTCTGCTGTATACATCATCCTGTGAGAAATCTTAGCAATGTATTTAGGTCTCAGCATGCTACTATGAGTTTGTATTTTTTCCTAAATGAGTTGACAGGCACATATTAGACATAATCCTTTCCAAGATTCTTATTTAAAACAGAAGTACATAGCAACATGTTTTCTTTAAGAACCTGACCAAACTATTGACAATCGTTATGTCATTAACATGTATTCTTGTAATCTAGTAGAAAAGTGTCCTGCCAGTTGTGGCTTGCATTACTGTCCTTTGCTAACAGTTCTCAGCCACCTTGGGTTTATTCTCCCACAGTAAGCATTCTGTCACGTCTTATTGCATACATAAAGTGGTGGAAACTGGTACTAATTTCATAAAACAAAACTTATGAAACCCCTTATGAACAACATTCCCAAATTAAAAATTGAACTGAAACCAACCACTTCCTTGCAATAGCAGAAAGAAAGAAACACATTTGCAGGCAACAAAGACGGTAAGGAAATATCAATATTTTCATATGTCTTGCTCATGTCTTGCTTGCAACACTTTTGTCATAATCATTTACAAACTTAAAACTAAAAGGCCCATCTTAGGCCCTTACTTTGAAAATATCAGTTGATGTGCTTGGAAGTCAAATACCTGATCCAGTTTGTCTGTTTCAGATCAAGTGGAAGAAGGCCCTCTATTGCAGATTAAAAACAGCATGGGTGTGATATTGTAAAGAAAAGTGTCTGACAAACTTTTGTTCCAATGTAAAATACTGGAACTGTTATTACAGTAAATATTAAAGAAATAAATATTATAACTTGATAATGTTGTTCGGAACTGTACCACAAAAGTCCTATAATAGATCTGAGTCAGTATTTATAAATAACACAACAACTGTCATCTTTATTCTGGAAAAACATTATAGGAAAACCAACATAATGAAACAGATCTGTACAGAAAATACTAGTGACACTGTTCTCACATGCATTTTCAGATATATGAAACTTTATAAATCATTCATATCTGAAAAAAATGGTATTAACACCTGTGTCAAGGCAGCATTTTGCATGTCCAAAAAAAGAATAGACGGATGTGGCCAAACGGCAGGTCCGAAAGTTCGGGAGGGACAACAACAACCAAGCTCAAACGTACTCAGCTGTCAGTAATTATCAATCACTCCTGTCATCCTTCCTCTACAAAATGCTATAAATACCTAGGTGATCCCCATCTCCCCCTCGCGTACGTCTTTTGCATCCCACCTCCACTTCATTCAAAATGAAGAAATACTGCAAAAACAATTCTCATGTTCCTTTAGGAGTGCAGCGTTGGTTATTGTTGTGAAAACTAGATACCACCATTCCAAATCGGAGCCGGGCCATGAACTCAAACATCCATTCTTCAAGCACACTTTGTGGCTTTGCAAGGTCACGAAGACATTTTTCCAGTGGTGAAAGCGTTCCATCATCTGAGGCCTAGAAAAGTGCAAACAGTATATACATGTAATTTTTTGCACAGTAACTAATTTCATCCTCATAAAATGAGGTAGTCATTTACTACAAAAGATTACATTTTGTATTTTCAAGCATGATGGTAACTGACTTTGTGGGACTGTTTGACTCACAACATTAACAATGAAATCACCTCCCTTTTAGAACATCTTTTTCTCTGACTGGAAAGTATGCTGTATGCAGATAAAGAAAGCATCTTTCATGCTTGTTGTGTTTGACCCTTAAGTTCAATGAAAATCTTTATTGATGGATTGTGCATGAAAATATCAAGAAAAAGATATTGATTAAGAAAATGCATTACCGTGGATAAAATTAGTTCCAGCCATATTTTCTCCTCTTCGCTGAAATCCATTATAAACCAGGTGTTTTACTGAAAACACAGTAAGTACAGTTATTTAATCTCATTTTAACTGCTTTAAGACGTGTTCTAAAAAGGCACAAATTAATTCACATAGTCAATACAAACATGAAAACTGATGTTCTTGTTTTGTAGAATGTCAGTTGATCTGATCTGTCACTTCTATGCAATATTCAGTGTAAGCAAATATCCTACCTTGCCCTTCTATGAAGGAAATTATGTTAATGCTTGTATAGTAATGAGAGTATTTTTCCAGCAGCCATATCACAGGTGGCAGCCCACTGAAGCTCAGCAGGTGTGAGCCTGGACAGTACCTGGATGGGAGACCTCCTGGGAAAAACTAAGGTTGCTGCTGGAAGAGGTGTTAGTGGGGCCAGCAGGGGGGCGCTCACCCTGCGGACCATGTGGGTCCTATTGCCCCAGTATAGTGACAGGGACACTGTAAACAGGCACCGTCTTTCAGATGAGATGTAAAACTGAGGTCCTGACTCTCTGTGGTCATTAAAAATCCCAGGGTGTTTCTCAAAAAGAGTAGGGGTGTAACCCCGGCATCCTGGCCAAATTTCCCATTAGCCCTTACCAATCATGGCCTCCTAATAATCCCTATCTATGAATTGGCTTCATTACGCTGCTCTCCTCCCCACTGATAGCTGATGTGTGGTGTGCGTTTTGGCGCACTATGGCAGCCGTCGCATCATCCAGTGTAAGCAATTATTATTATATATATTTTCATATTGTAAGTTCCCTAAGCTTGTTGTATAGTACAGAAACTATTTTAAATGATAAAATTATTAATGTCTAATTGAGAGAACTAATATTTCAAGTGTTCAATTAAGTATCAGTGCGATGTTACACATAAAACAGGAGCAAGGATGTTCTGGAATCAGGTTTATAAAGCCTTGTGGATTTTGTTTTGCCTCCAATGTAAGTACTAAGCACCAGCTATCAGCACTAGATGGTGCAGTTTTCTAGTTAACCGTCAGGTTACAAGATTAAAAATGTCTTCAAAACAGCTGATACGAATTGCGTCATAAACTTTAAACGTACAAAAACTAAAGACTAAGAAATAAACAGCTAATAAAATTCAGTAAAATATATATATATATTACTCCAGAACACACAGATACAAACAGTACGCAAACTCCAGTGTATGCTGGCAACTGAGGTGTCACTGAATTGTTTTTGCCCCGATTTTCTAAGCATTCCTGAACAGAAATCCTAAAAACATGAATTTTGCGGAGTTAGCAATTACCGTATGTTCAACCAACACCTACGCCTCAGTGCGACACCAATTTTATATAGCGACGGCCGCTGGGGTGGCATTAATTACATTACAGTAACTATTATCTTTTACAAAAGGTTATTAGCAAATGTGTCAATTGCAAATGGTATGGTTTTAAAGAATATCTAAAACCAATGCAATAATTACAATAAGACACTGACTTGGTTCCACAGGGAAAATATTATTTTTCTGTCTGTCATGTACCTAGCGGTACTTAGACAGATAGACGTTTTTAGAAAATAGTTGTTACCATATAGAACTGAGTACATAGTCTTGTAATCATACATTTAGAAGCATTATTTTGACATTATACACAGTAGTTGCATTGCACTATGATGACCTCTAAACTCGTCCAAAATACTTCAACACCATTTTAAAGTTAGGATAATACAGTACTTATAAGTATAAAACGTATACCTTTTTGTCCATAAAAGAAATAACTGCATTTGTTTCCCACACGATTAATAAAAAGAAAGTTAAGTACGGTATAACTATGGTTTACCTTTCAACATCAGAAGGCCAGAAAAGTGCGGTCGTTAAAATATCCGATTCACATGAAAAGACAGAACTAACCCTTTCCAAGAAATAATGCGACTGTTTCACAGTTAAAAGCGAAAGTGAAAGTATACATAAAAATGTCTGTGAACAAAAGCAAAACAAAATCGAATCTATGTCAAAATCTATGTTGTTAAACCCGTGTGTGAGAAAAGAACGCAGAACCTTATACTGTACATAAACGTTTAGAACGTTTAGTCATCTGGTGTTAAACATACAGTACAGCATTATCACAAAATAATATATCCTGTCGTGTGGTGTTTCACTGTTGGAATTCATTCTACAATTGTACAAAACACTCTCACATTCCTCCCGTCTCCCAGGACTTTGGGCTACTACAGTACCTTGCTGGTTGAGTGCAAGTTAAATCCTACAGGCCCAATTTCACTCTTTTCAGACTTGGCTATGGCATTAGGCATCTTCATCTGATGCTCCCCAAGTACCAACAAACACCAGCCAGGTGCCAATGTGGCTAAAAGCACCTGCATTAGTTGGGATACTTTCATTCTTTCGTGCCACAGCAGTTTCAGTGTTTTGTCAGCTTTACATTTGTCAAATGCACACAGAGCATTCCTAGAGCAAAGTCTATTTAGTATAGTTTTATTGTATTGCATTAAGTCAGGGGCCACAGTGTCAAAGTGAAGGTTTTGTTTGTATGCAGCCAAACAGCTGTATCATGATGTCTTAAAGTATTCCAATTGCCCAATTGTTGAATTACAGATATATACATTTTTGGTGAATAGTAGTCAAAACTAGTGCTCAAATTGTGGGGGAAAGAATTTAGTAGTTTTTATGACATTTAAAGAAAAAACACAAACTAAAGTGTTAATGGCAAAAGTATTCACCCAAATGATGTGACAAACTCAAATTAGTTCAGATACACAAAATTACTTTGACAAGTCACAATTAGTTGATTGGCCTCAGTCTACATGCAATAACAGTGGTTCACATGATAACAGAAGAAATTAATCTGTACCTCTATTCCTATGCATAACAATGCATACATATTTAATCTAACAAAAAACATTAATTTTACTGAAGTGTGAGAAATCTTATGACACATGACATGCAAACATATGTTCACATTATCACTTCTAAAATAATACACAACACAAAAATGCAAGAATAATCCTTTACTTTTATTTTCCTGGGATGTGAACTGTTAAATCTGATATGTTAATGATGAAGCAAATCCTCGTTTGAGGGAAGGAAAAAAAAGTTTTTCTTTAACCTTACTCCTAACTATTAAAAGGTCCCTTATATCCATCCAGATCCCAATAAATTATGTCTCCAGATACAAAAAACACTGTAAATACCCGTTAACCTGTACTGTACAGCATCTATTTTGCAGAAAATAAAAAATTACATTAAATTCATTGACATGGAATAAGTCACTGAATTTTACCAAACATTTCTTAAGATGTAATTTTAGAAAACCTTTTTGTACACTACCACTCAGATTTCCAGTGTATTCCCAATGACAGTGCATTGAAAGGTAAAATAGTTACGGCATTTAACTTCACGAGAAAGATGAAAGCTACAAGCACTGGTAATCCCAGTTAATTACTGAAACTCTGCCCTTGTGGCCAGACAGAGACCCCACATTTTAACACAAAATCAGTCAAGAGGATTAGATCATCACTTCACAACTTTGATTCTGTCCTTCCAGCTGGAGTCTTGGTTGCATAACGGAACCCTGGACTGAATTAACATGTTTGATTTTAATCAGTTTTATTTTCTGCTCCTGAAGATTCTGACTTAATGTTCCTTATAAATATTTAAAATCCCACATTTGATGGACATGAAACAATTCAAAAGTGTCTAATCAGTAAATCAAGTATGGATTTAAATTAAATAATCAAGAATTCATCTGGAGTATATTTGAAAATTGAAAGCCATGGATAAGAAAAAGAATTGAGTGTTGACAGGACTCAGGACCAAAGTAACCCTAATAAACCACCCTAACATTGGAAACCCAACACATTTTTAAAGGCTGCAAGGAAAAAGTAAAGGTTGTCTTGCACAATGTAAGTGATGCAAAAATGATCCGTTGCAAAAACAAATTGGCTGCCTGCACATTTTCTTCCTACGCAACTGCATTGCAGCAAACGTTTAAGGCAGTTTGTTCAGAACTCCTCTTCTGCGTTTCTGGTGCGGATAGCCTTGAGGTGCTGCAGGCGCTCGACACACTCCTGCAGGCCGCGCTCCCCATGAACTTTGTTGTCTCTGGTGCGCACATTCACAGTGTCGCTGCTCTTCTCCTTCTCACCCACAACTGACAAAGAAAAACACAACATCTCGCCAAAATCCTTGCGTGTTTGATGCGTCAGATCCTATTCACAATGTACAATTACACTGTGTGTCAATGAAGCCACAAAAATACTTGATCATATTTTAGAAGGCTCATTGTACTCAATGTCTTTAATTGTATTTATTATACACTTCATTTATACAGTGCAAGGCCACATGCCTTATTCATGTTATCCATGAAAATTTTTTTTAAGGTAAAGCAAATATTGTCTGCTACAAAAGTCAGTCATACAAGCCTTCGATTAATACTGAAATACACTCACAGTTTAAATGTCCTGTATCAATATTTGTATTATCTACAGTTGTAAAATGCAGTTTCTCCTATCAATTTTCCACCATTACTGCAAATGTGAGGAAGTACGGTGTTAATCTATGAATACAGCTGTATGCATCACACTTATCTGCGTTTTCTACTGTACGTCATGTCAACACGAAGTGTCATTTTAATAAAATGAATGAAATTACTCAGTTTTCCTGATACCTACGTTTTTCAAAAAACTAAATGTAAATGTGCTGTTTGACAGTATCACTGAGGTCAAGCAGCCCCGGTGCACTCACCCAGGATGAAGTTGTACTGTGCCAACTGTGCATTTCTGATCTTTTTATTAAGAGTACAGCTTGGATCCAAGTCCACATCACACATCAAACCACCACTATAGAATTGGTGCCGCACCTAAATTTTGAGGAGAAAAACAAATAGGCGTTTATGAGTAAAAAAACAATGTTTTTAACGCTACTTAATAACTGGCATTAAAGTCTACTAATTAATGTTAAAGTGAGTAATCAATCATGACGTAGCCCAGTTGCAGTCCTATTACAGTCGTTTCTCTTTAGGAAATATCATCAATACTGATGTCTGGACCTTTATTACTGAAGCAAAATTTAATTTAGGATGGACATCAAAAGACTGCACCTTAAAGCCATAATCGAACTCTATTGACAAATGTGAGGAAAAAAAGTTAGGTTGGAATATCCCTGTATAAAATTCCCTTTAGTTTGTTCAGACTACATCTATCCTAAACTGCTGAAATCATTTGAAGGCACAGACTGCAAAACTGAGAAAGAGAAGCTAATTTTTCTTGTGTTTCCTGTTCACACAGTTACACACTGCACAAAATGTTGATCTATAAAATAATGGCTACACAAGCTCATGGTCATATTTAAAAAACAGGCAAATAAGGCATCTGATGCCAGATATTCATTTGAACTTTATTTAAATGTTAATTTGAAAATTAACCAGAGTACGAGGACTATTGCTTAGATTCTACCTTTTGCGCATACTCTTCACAAGTGGGTCCAACTGGTACAACCATCACCTGACGTGGAGACAGCCAGAGTGGCCTGTTCATGGAGAACATAGTTCATCATTTCAACAGATAGTACAAATAACAGCTGACAGCTGGCAAAACCAGCACTGAAATTTACATACTGTAGACGCAAACATCTGATTGTATTGTATGAAATAGTGGGACAGAATAAGATGTCTGAATCTGGAGTAATATCAAGGTTAATTTTCAAATGCGACTTGTCTACGAATCTGCAAAGCATGGATATAAGTAAAAAATGAGTTTAGCCTGTGATGCGGATGCATTGTTTCTCATTTCCCATTTAAGGAGACTTCAAACAGGTCAACTTAAAGAAAACATCAAAAATAGGTGAAGAATAATTTAGGGGATCTTTAATCAGACGAATTAAATTTGAGTTGGTCTGGTATTTAAGCTTCAGATATGTAAGTTGTCAAATAGGAAATGTGAAGTGCTGGTATAGACTTTTATACATTTGATACAGTAAAAACATTTCTTTTTACCATTTTCCACCATAATTTTCAGTCAGAATAGCAATCATTCTTTCGACAGAGCCCAGGATAGCACGATGAATGATAACTGGTCTTTTCTTGTCATCACCATCATGGCTACATGAAAAATAAAAGAATATCTTAATTGCTGAGCTGCAAGTGGAAATTAAAAAGTATTTATCTAGTTCACATAGGTAGCTGTGTCAGCATGCAAAAGCTACAAAGGAACAGGTTAGGGTTTATTCCATGCTGAAAGAGACAACATTTTGGCTGTGGAGCCTTCTTCAGGTGTGAAAAATCCATTCCTGTACTGTTTTTTTTCCTGTTGTTTATTTAGCCATTTATCAGTTCTAGATTCTACCCTCAAACCCAATATTACTTGAAGAAAGCTCCATAGACCAAACTTTATCTATCTTTTCATTTTCTTTCTGCACGAAACAAACCGTAACCTGTGGCTTTGCAGCCTATTTATCTAGTTACAGCTCTTTACATTAACTTGCTTTTCAATAACCCAAGACATTCAGTTAAAGTTCAAGTACAAGCAAGAGAGTACTGAGAAAGCACCCCAATAAAGTCATTCAATTAACTTGTATAATACTGGACAAAGCAGAACAGTTATAATTTCTCACCGTGAAAAAATATGTCAAGACTAATATGTATGTTTATTATTATAAACCTGCTTAATGCTATTAAGAAAAATAAAACTACTTACCTCCTAAAAGCGCTGTTGCAATGTGTAATTAAAGACTTAAATGTAAATAAAGACTTAAATGTAAATGCATTTTACATACATATACATTTACATTACATACATATACAAGTAATTAGTACATGGTACATCTGTTTCATTAGAGTGTTCCATACCTCACATAGGTGAGATTAAACCTAATTGGAAGCTGAAAGTCCAGCTGGATTGTTGCACACTGATGGTACCTTCCAATGGCATCCTTAATCTGAATATCAATCTGCAAAAAAACATGTTTGATTCAATATTATTTTTTTTTTAACAAGATTGAATTAAAAATGTGAAGTCTTCCCAGGTGTAAACTATGTGGGTTTTCTTAGTAGCTCAACCAGGTACAGATTGACTCTTACTTTCCAGATGTCATTGATGCTGGGTGGGATATTAGGCAGCTGTGACCAGGACTCGGATTTTAATAGCCCAGGGTATCCTCAGCCTGCTACACTACAGAGGACATTGTCCCTGATTAAATGCCTGTAATTTTGCCATGTGCTCCCCTTCTTACAGTACTAAATGATCTACTTGATTACTTAAACCTTCAGGAAAACATACAAAACCAAATCTCCCCTAATAACTATTTTAAGTGTTAAAAATTAAAACTGTGAAAACAATTTGACAATCAAGTGATTTTTTTTTGTTTTTGGTGAAAGATGCCTGCAGCAAAATGCCTACTTCACCTTTGGTCCATAAAATGCTCCATCACCAGGGTTAAGTACCCACTTCTCTCCAAATTCATTCAAGCTGTTCTCAAGTTGCTAAAATCAAAGAAGTAAAAGCACAACTGTAATTGCTTATACACCATTTTCTGTAACTGATTTATATAAAGAAGCATCTTTCTCTCTCTCTATATATATATATGCTCTCCATACTTTCTCTGCCTGATTCCACACTTCGGGTTCACCAAGGAACTTCTCCGGACGAGTGGAGAGATTCAGCTTGAATGTGAATCCAAACACATCATAAACAGCTCGAAGGAAATTCAGGCAACCTTTGATCTCCTCTTCAATCTTGTAGATAGAATAAGAACAAAAAAAGAATAGAGATATTTTTAAACAACTACAGGGACAGAGCTATCCAAAATCCATTCCTGTTCTGTTTATTTTTCTTCTGTTGTTTATTTATTCACTGATCAGTTCCAATTTCTACCCTAAACCATAATATCCTTAGCAAATAAAAGATAAACACGACATTACAAAACCTATGGTATCAGGCCCTCCAAGGAGCTAATTTGCAGTACTTTTCAATAACTGGACTTCAATAACTGGAAACCAGGACAGTCAAACTAAAAATGGTATGATATTTATTTTGGCATATTTGCTAATTTAATAAGGCCACATCTTCAAAGATAATAAAGTTTTCTACAGTTCCTGTAAAGTTAGGTCTTGGGTCGGCAAGATAACTGAGAGAAAAATGGACTGTTTTGTGGTCCAGGTTCCAAAATAGCAGATTAATCAAAATGGATTTGAACATTTACAAAACAATCAAAAATGTAAAAAAAAACATTCCCCACAGACTGCAAAATGCCTGAAAGAATTGGTGGGTAGCCTTTTTCTTTAAGTACCTTTTCAAAGATTGAGAACTTGAAGTCCCATGTCAAACTTTTTTTAGTGATTTACAACCTTTTGCTAATAACTCCTCTTCCTGTGACCCTTCTCTTGTTTTTAGGTGGTGGGAAAAAGAACAAAAAATGCACTATCCCTTTGTCATACAAAGCTTCCAGTAAGGATATGTTTTCATAGATGGCAAGCAACACAATATGATGATATATTAGGGCATCAGAAATGATATCTAGGAAATTAATGTAGGGTGTGGTGGTGAGCTTACTTTCTAGTACTTCTTCTTTACCTTAAAAACAATTACAAAACCTTGCTCGGAAGTATTTAACCCAATAAACCGTAGCTTTGAAAGAGGCAGCTCAAGCAATAAGGCCCTGGTGTGTGCTGCAACCACACCTGGTCCATTGAGCAGAAGATGTGAGCGTCGTCCTGCTGAAAGCGCCGGACACGGGTGAGCCCAGTCAACGCCCCGGACAGCTCGTTACGGTGGAGCACGCCAAAGTCCGCCAGGCGCAGGGGGAGCTCTCTCCAAGAACGTGGACGGTGGTCAAACATCAGGCTGAGAAGAGGAAACATCTGGTTACTACGGTTTAAAACACAAGGTTACCACAGCTTTACACTGAAATGTAACAGAACTTCTCCAAT